CCTCTAGTGGTTTGGGCGAGCTTTTTGAGTAGGCATTCATGTCTATCTTTGATAAGACAATAGGGAACTAACGTTAGGCAGCCATGGCATCGATTCGCTGAACTGCACCCTGGCTAGTTTGCTTGAGACGGCGGCGATGGGCTACGGTTCGTCGAAACTAGGTGCATACACAGCTCTGGTTCCGTGCCTCGCTATGTATTTCTCGACCTGGGAAACGTACCATACGCACACCCTTTACCTCGGTTACTTTAACGGACCTACCGAGGGTCTGCTTATCGCGATTGCGATCATGATCGCGTCAGGTGTCTACGGGCCTCAGATCTGGTCCCGGCCGATCGTTGAGTTCTTGAACTACCCGCAAATCTTCGGGAACAACTGCATGAAGGACCTGTGGATTCCCATACTTCTTGGGTCTTTTCTCCTTGGCCACCTTCCTGGCTGTGTCCTCAACGTTGTGGCTGCGCGCCGGAAACAAGGCCTGCCCATTACCCCTATCTTCAAGGAATGGGTGCCCATGATCGTTTTCACTGGTTGTAACCTTGCCTGGCTTTTCTCTCCGTATTCGACTCTGCTAGCTCAGAACCGACTGGTTCTGTATTGCTGGACCATCTCGTTCGTCTTTGGACGCATGACGACTAAGATCATTCTTGCTCATTTGTTGAGACAGCCATTCCCGTATTGGACGGTGCTGCAGACACCACTCATCGGAGGTGCTATCCTGGCTAATCTACCACGTCTGGGGCTTCCGATGGTGAGTGCATCTTTCGAGCTACTCTACTTACGTCTTTACCTTTTGGTGGCGTTCGTCGCGTACATGCACTGGGCATTCCTGGTCATCAACAGAATCACGACTTTCTTGGGTATCAACTGCTTAACCATCCGGCGTGACAAGTCCGTCGCGAGAGAACAGGCGTATCGCGAGTTTGGAGAGGGCACACTTGCTCCTCTCAACCCTAGCGCCGACCCCAGCAAAGGCGGTTACAAGAGCCATTGATCGAAGCTAAGCGGTGAACAAACGGTCCTCAATTGCTTGAATAACCCCGTTCGAGGACGCCCTTTTCTTGTGACGCTTCATCATCATCTTCTTCTTCGATAACCCATTCTGGTGACAATACACAAGGCGAAACCCTCGGTCGAGCTTGTTCGTGATATGCACAATCAAACAGCTGCTTGACCCGACCAACCGGGGATGTATAAAAAGTCCTGGCTCAACGATTTCCATGTCTTCTTCTTCCATAATGTCTCTGGCCTACCGATTGATGAACTTATGACTGCAATAAATGGGACACGAGGACAAGCAAGGGCTGGTGATGGACAGGTGTCAGTATATATAGATCATAGACAGTATAATATTAATGACTTGCAAAGGTTCACTCCTTCATCGTCTTGTTGAGCCCTAGAACTGGTAGTTTATCTTTGGCAGAGACTCGACCTTTTCTGGTATAGTCCAGGATTTCGGTTCAATCTAATCCGATTATCGTCTCATCTATGGAGTACGCTTTACCTACCTAACCTTAGTCCGAATACCTCCTCGGCAAATAGCTCACCCCCAAAGCCCTCTGATTCGTACCGTTGCTTCAGATCACTGCCCTGCAGACTTCAGACCCATTTATCCTCCGGTGTTTTCATTCGGCCAACCGGCGATTTCCTCCCAGATGACCGGTGCCTCTGCCACCGACCGATAAGCAGACCCTCCAATCAATCCTGATAAGGTTGATAAGGTGAAAGCAATGGGGTTATACTTAGTAGTTAGAGGGCCCTCTCACGCGCATACATCCCTTGAGTAACGCACTCGTCCCCCTCCTCCTCCCCCTCCCCCCTCCCCCCTCCTCCTTCCTTCCAACTTCTGAGGGGGCTTCTACATCCATCTTGAGCACATCAACTCTTCACCTCGCGTCAAAATGGGTGACTCCAAGACGGCCTCGGTGCCTGTACCGACGCGACTATTTGACGGATATGGGCCCGGCAACGTTCAAGTCCAGGATGCAGATGAGCTGCGTCTGGCGCAAATGGGTACGTACGTCTGGATTGGATGCGTTTTCCCCTCTGCGCATGAGGATTGGAAGTTCTGACTGAGTCTCGATGATGGCGATCATTCAAGCTAACTTCTCGACATTCCTCCAGGACATAAACAGGAGCTCAAACGCCATTTCTCGGTATGGAGTCTGATTGGATTAGCGGCCAATTGTACCATTTCTTGGACAGGTATGACGAGTGGGAGATGTGCAATTTGATCTATTGGCTAAATAAATCTCCTTTTCAATAGGACTTGGACTGGGGTTGATCACCTCTATCAATGCGGGAGGACCTGGCGCATGTATGCAGCTTCCCCCTTCCTGGCTAAATGGAAGCAAAAGCAAAAGAGGAAGATCCAACCAACATGAGCTAACCATTGAATATCGTATAGTAATCTACGGGTTTATCCTGGTCTTCATCCTGCAGTGTTTCTTGGCCACGTCTTTGGCGGAATTCGTCTCGGCGTATCCGGTGGAAGGTGGGATGTATCACTGGATTGCAGCGATAGCCCCCCATCGCTATAGCGATGTGTTGAGCTTCGCAACCGGCTGGGGCACCGTCTTTGGATGTATGCAGAAGCCTTATTTTCCCTACAATCACCAGTACTAACTGCACTGATAGGGATCTTCACCACGGCTTCGACGAACCTGGTTTACGCATCCAACTTCATGGCCCTCGTTGGATTATATAAAACCGATTTCGTGCTGCAGCCATGGATGACGTTCGTGGCATATCAAGGGTTCAATCTTCTTACGTGCGCCATTGTCATGTTTAGGAATAAGTGGATGCCTGCAATCAACAAGTTCTCGTGTAAGTGAAGATTTTGGGGTGGTTAATCCTCTGTGTCTTGCGAAAGGACTGACTTTTTCCTTTCTGCTTCACGATCGATAAAGTATGCTATCTTCAGTTGGCTTGGCTTGCCATCCTCGTTACTGTGGCGGCGGCGGCCCCAAAACATAATGATACTGAATTCGTTTTCCGCACCTGGATCAACGAGACTGGGTGGGAGAATAATGTCATTTGTTTCATTACCGGCTTGGTAAATCCGCTATATTCTCTGGGTGGCTTAGATGGGATCACGGTAAGAGTCATACCCTGTCAGACTTGCTCGATCTAAGAAGCTTCTGACTGACTTCTCATAAATAGCATATTACAGAGGAGATGCCAAACGTATGTACTTACCTTTCCCAGGAGGCGCTGGCTGTGCTGAACTGACTTCTCGCAGCCTGGAAGGAATGCTCCGTTGGCTCTGGGTAAGTAACCATTATCAATGCCGAGTTTATATCCAATAAAGTCTCGCTGACAGGTGTTATGACTCCGGATAAGCTTGCACTCTTGGCATAGCTTTTGTGACCGGATTGTCTTATCTTCTAGCTTTGATGTTCTCGGTCCAAGACTACACAACTCTTGCCGACTCGCCCACGGGCCTGCCTCTAGCGGAGATCTTTCGCCAAGCAACCCAAAGCCGAGGAGGTGCTTTCGCGCTTGTTTTCCTCTTGTGGGTGGCGGTAGGTCCGTGTATGATTGGTTCGCAGCTCAGTATGTTCCTGGCCCTTAAAACCCCCGAGTAGGTATTTATGTCAACACTGCTTTCCCTTTGAACAGGCACGGGGCGAATGTTCTGGGCGTTCGCTAGAGACGGGGGTCTTCCATTCTCGAGATTGTGAGTCTTTGATAGAAGCCTTGCCAATGCCCAACAGCGAAAGGAATATATGCTGACGGCCACTGCAGCTGCTCGAAAGTAAGCCCTCGATATGGGGTTCCGGTCAACGCCCAGCTAGTTGTCGGCATCATCGTCGCTCTTCTGGGGTGCATTTATCTGGGCTCTAGCACGGCCTTCAACTCAATGATGAGTTCTGCAGTGTATGTAACCTTCATTCATTCCTGAAATCGAATTTGGAAGCTCCGGGGCCGGTTCTGACATTATCGCAACGCAGGACGATCAACAACTTTGCTTATCTTGTGCCGATCTTGACCAACGTGCTGCTCCGTCGGCAAACCATGCACCACGGCCCCTTTGCCTTGAGCTTTGCCATGGGGATGACGGTCAATATCATCACGGTGGCCTGGTTGATATTTGCCATAGTGTTCTTTTCGTTCCCTTATGAAATGCCTGTGACCGGTAAGTGGATGACCCAGCTGCTATGGAGAAGGCCATCTCCAGCGGCCTGCAAAAGATAAGACCCGGTGGCTGACAGTTAGCTGGAATAGTATCGAACATGAACTATACATGTGTATGTGTCGGTGGATTCTTGTTTCTCGAGCTACTGTGGTGGCTCATTGCGGGCAAGAAGTACTCGAAGCACATGCAAAAGGTAAAGGCGCATGATAGCGAGACAGCACACACATCAGTGGTCATTGCGGCCGATGAGAAAAGCTAGCTGCGCTAGCTATGAGGATGTGTGAGGGACGACGACTCAGGATGAGGCTCACACGTCATGCTACTTCGATACTATAAGTGATGTGCGGCTGAATATAATTAAACAGGCTCCGGGCCTCAATGGTTCCAGATCATGAGTAAGGGGAAGCACGTAGAACGCATGCACCCCGAAGGTATAGGCTTCGGGGCGGAAGCGAATCGTTAACACATTACTCGGATGGCCACCCCGAATGTCGGAGACGCATCGCATGAGCCCCTAGTCCCGTAGAAACTTTTCTGCAAAGTGATGGGTCAACACTGACTGTATCGAAGCGATACAAGCCATTGCCAAGTATCTATCACAGTGCATCCCCAACGGAGTCTGTGATATTAACTATGTCCAAATATGGCCAAACATGACTAATTGCGATGGTCGCTAAAATCTTCCCAGAGGTTTGTTTGGGTCAGCACATGGTGTTGGATGCAACATATATATGTAAGAGAATATCTGCCTCCTTTCTCGAGGACATGAAACCAGGGGTGAATAGGTATATTCATATTCGTTGACGTCGTAATTGTAGTAGAATGGCGGTTGTTTATGTTAAGGGCAAAGAGCAGGATCCCCTTAGCACGTCCGTCCAAAAAGGAAATCCTTGACAATCGGAGAGCTAGAAAATTCAGGGTTCAGTAGAACGCAGCTTTGAACCACAATGTCAGTTCTTCGCACCCGTGCACAATTCTGCCACCGATGGCGCAACTCACTTCAGAAAATATTCCAAACCAGCACGACGCGATTCAAGAAATTTAGGACGAAACTTGACTAAAGGGATCTGTGAGCTGGTGTACTCTCTTATGCAGCTTGCGCGACACATACAGATTACACTCTTAGGAGGTAAGGGAGGAAGTGCGTTTTTGGCATGCGGAAATGATACTATGAGGCGTTGTCGTAGGTCGTCGAACTCGGAATACCTGAACATAATAATAAGCATTAGGTAACTTTGGCTATAGGCGAGAATGCGAAAAGCTTACCTCAATCGAACTGTTATAGGGCCACCCTGGAGCAGCTATCAGCACTCGACCGATGTCCCGTAGCGCTCAGAGTAGCAGCAGCGCAATTTTGGTACGCCCAAACTCACATCAAGTGTTTGAACCCTGCAATTCCAGACTACGTACGATCCAATCCCTGTCTTTCCCTGAACAACAACATAATCATCTACTGAGACGCTCTTCGCCCACAGTCCACGACTAGTCTCACATTCCGGATCTTCCGTGTGGTCCTCGAGGGTGATAGCCGGGCCAGCGTCGAGAGATATCTGGGAGATTCTGGAAGCAGCTCTGTGATGGGTCCAATATGGAGGGACTATCCCGGAAATCGGGCGCTCATTACTCGAGGCATCCCGAGCTTGAAGCAAAGGGGTATCATCGCCGTTGATGGACAGATTGGAGGGAGATGTATTTGTGTTCAGGGTGGTGTTGTCCGTGCTGGAGGTAGCCGAAGGTTCGAGGGAGGGGGAGTTTGGGTGCGGCGAAGGCACGAGGCCAGTATCCTCATTCGCTGGCTCCATCCATCTAAATGTCACTCGGCAGATTTGGCGGAGACGATCCTGACTGTCACTAAGAATAGGTCAGGTCAATCACGATGCAAAAGAGGAAAATGACCAGTAGCGGAGATTGACCCAGGGCAAGCTCAATGTCCACTAAGACTGAATAGAATAGTCTTCGAAGCTTTCCCGTGGTTCCAAGCAGAGGAATTGAATGAGGGGAAAGAGGGTCTGTGTCCGTTCGGCGTACAGAATACAGTCAGATGCATGCCAGAATCATCGATGACCGGTCACAACAAGCCACGTCCAGGGCGTTATCCAGTAGGTAGACTAGTACTGTACGTTGGGACGAACGGGGGCGAGAGAAGGAAGTGCGGGGGAATTGAATCACGGGAAGAGGAGCTGATAAGATAGTTGAAAATGTTTCAGACCGTGGGACATACATACATACATGAACCAAGAAATGCGCTTCTGGTGCCTATCAATTCAGCGCCAGCGTCATAAGTGTCTCTTGGGTTGAGGAACGGTCTCTGGTGGACGGCATGATGATTGAACCGGCGATCATCCTCGGCAGACTCCGACGGCGACGAGGACGACTGCCACTGCCATGGCACCACCACCGGGCAACTTTCCCGCAGCTTCCATCCCGGGCAGTCCAAGCCACTTCCAGTCACGGGACTACTAATTACTGCTCGAGAAAGGCGGCGAGTCATGTGAGAAGTTAGAACAACAAACAAAGGACGACAGATTTGACTTAGTACACTACACTTGGTACTTTACTCGGTTCTTGAGCTGAATTAAGTTGTGTACACCATTTAGTGATTACTCCATTGCCCGAGTCTTTGATGCTATCCAACGGTGACTCCCCCCACGCCATTTCCAGCTGACAAGTCGGCGAATCTGAAGACAGACTGGCTCCTCCGTACGCTGCGAAGTCTGAAGAGTGTCGGCGAGTCGGAAGAGCCAGCAATTGGAAACTGGCCCAGTGCCCGAGGGAGATAAATGCCTTTTTTGGTCTAGGCTGCCTTCAGGGTCCAGACTAGAAAAAGCCAAGAGGGTCCGGCCCCAATCAGCGTGTTTGCGAGGGATTCTACCCTTCTGCAACTGAGACATTTTGTCCGGATGATGGACAACGAAGAATTCTCAAAAAAAAAAACATCGCTTCCCCCCCTAGTAAGAGGCGATACTCGAAGGCTACCATCTTACTGAGACATGCTCCCACCATCATCACCACCACCACCCCCTCATCCTCCTCCTACTCAGCACTGCATAGATCCTCAAATATCACCATGATTGTCACGGATGCACCTGCAATGCATGCAGCCCAGTGCCAGCCACTAGGGTAATAAACTAAAGATAGTAACCCCATCCCAGCCTGGACACGATAAAAGGGTGAGTGGTTGTGCATCTGCTTGTGTACAGTACTGTATGGAGTTTGTCCGTACTTACTAGACTACTTAGACTGTCTAACTGTCTAAACTACTCATACTACGGTAGTCTAGTCAGTCAGTCGTATCGGCTAGTGGCCCCCGGATCGACATACCAGGTTCTCTGCTCTCCTGATGCTGCCGGGCAATCTTGAGTCTCTTCCCTCCAGGCTTCCTTTCCCCCTCCCTCTTCGCCCCCTCCCCTTCCTTCCCCTTCCTCCGCGTTGAGGTTGGGACTGATTGTAAAACTCACTTCACCCAGTCAAGCACAAAATAACGAGCATGTTTCGCCCTCCCTCCCAGTCCCAGCTCTTTCCAGCCTATCTGCACAAACCCCGCCATGGAAGGCAGCCGACTAGCTAACTAGCTTGCTTGCCACGGACCTCGGGGAAGTTACGGAGGAGACGAAGTGAACTTGCTGTACTTATCTCAGCCAAGTTAACGTTACGACTAGCACAATACGGCCATCCAGCACTAATTACCTAGTACTATACTATACCAGTTGCATTCTTGGATGGCTGGCTCCATTAGTATCCCGTCTGGAGCTTAATCAACACATAGCGTCGCCACCTCGACCTCGCTTCGCGTAACAAACCCAAGTGGTACGAGACAAGATGTTGGACAAACTACATATACTGAGCCTCCAGCACCATTCCCCATTCCCCAATCCCCAATCACCACCCCGTCTTCTTTACCCTTTGATCTCCTGAAATCCTAAATCCTGAACCCTTGCCCACCCCTCTCCCCCTTTCATTCTCCAGGATCTGCTTCACTGCCTTCGATCTAGGATCTCTCACATTGGACCCTGGCCCAGATTTGACATATCATTCTTGACCCATCTTATTGCTGTAAGCCCACTCCTATCTCTCTCTTGCTTGCTCCAAACCCTCTGGTCTCCATCGTCTGGCATTTCCTTCCGAAGATCTTTTTCAAGATTCAGGAGATCACCGCTGGGACCCTGCAGTGACAGGGACTCCATTCCGAAAAGCAAAGCTCGTCAGTCACTAATCTCTCAGTTGAAGCTGTCATCATGCATCTCTTGCATTCTGCGATTGCTGTCGCCTCCCTGGCCCTGCTTGCCAACGGACAGAACTCCTCCTACAATATCAATGTCAATGACATTCCAATCGATACGAGAAGTATGTCGTCACCTAGCTAACAATGAGGACTATGCGATTGCCCGCGATACTGATCTTGTTACTTGGATAAGCTCAATGGTGTAAGGCTCAGACCTCATCATGCCCGCTCCTCTGTCTTCAATTGCCTGGAACGACGAGCCAGCCAAAGGAGAATACTTGCGATCCTGTGAGTGATAAGTTACCCTTCTTTATGATTCTGCTGGCTGAGCACGTCTAATCACTTGGATCAATGCTCTCAGAAAACACTGTATTATGTCTGTGACTGCAGTAATGGCCTAAGTCCGAATTCTTCGCAATATTCCCAGACGATCCCGTACTTCTTGTGCACAGAAGAAAACAATGAGTGTGTCACCAACTGCAACGGCAATTCAATCTGCCAATCGGATTGCCGCAGCCAGCACCCTTGTGGTGCGCAGGACCCCAAGCGGGTGAATACCACTTCGACATCAAACTCAACTCCAGCTGCTACTGCTGCTTCCACCACAACCTCACTGGCACCCTTCACTGGTGTGCCCGATGAGGGCGCAGCAGCACGATCATCAACAGACATGATTCAGCTTTACGGTCTGGTGACTGTTGTGGGTGCATTCCTGGCCGGATTCACGACCTTGATCTAGATTCAACCCGCGCTACAGGGTCCCTGATACAGCCGCCGCCCTCGCCCCCGCCCGTCGCACTTCTGATAATGTGTGGGAATCCATTTGGCATCTTAGCGTAATATCTTAATATCTGTCAGCTTTTGATTCTTGTCGGATATCGGCTACTGCTTTTGCTTTGGTTCTTTGCTCAGTTCACGATGCAGCGGTTTCTTTCTTTCTCTTGTGTAATGGTTGTGCTACCGTTTATGAGCTATCCTCTTCCATGATAAAACAATGATGACCATTTATTTCTGATCCAGTCAAATCCAGCGCAGATTAGAAATCATACTTCAGGAGTTGAACGTTTCATTTCACAGGACTCGAAACCTGCCATAAGGTAGATTGATTTAATCACACGATTCACTTACGCTGGATGCTTGTGCTTAATCTCAATTCAGCCCATCAAGACAGTCCCCAGAACATGAGTACCGATTTATAATCTCTTCAAGCAAGACAACTTAAAGCTAGCGAATCAGTCATATTGAGCTAGGCTCGACATGCACCCTTTACACATCTTGCAAAGACCGCGCATTCTGCAGATGAACAAGGCCAAGAGCAAGAAGAATAGAGCTGATACTATGGCGGTTGAAACATGGTGACAGCAAGATACAACGTTATCACAAGTATGTGGCTCCATCTTGAGTCCTCCATACGCACCGTCTTGTAGGACAGTGTCTTTCTTTAGAGGTCATGCCGAGCACTATGGTAACCTTCTACATACTTAGAACCGACTCGGGAGCTATACCCGGATGATTTCCTGAGGGATTGGTCATGGTTGCAAGGCGGTGGCCCGGGCGGTATGCAGCGGTGCTGATAAGTCGGGCCAAATGATGCCGCCATACCGATGACCTGGTGGGAGAGAGCGAGGTTAGCTCACCTTCAACCACCCTCCGCCACCAGCAGGAACGTTCATTTACCGTTCAGAAGACTCCTTTCCTGCCTTGGGCTGTCTGATATTAGATCTATATGCTTTCATGGCGTATTGACAACAGCCTGTACCAATAATCTAGAATCACCTTCACTCCAGGCTCCGAATCAGCTCGTTCCCCACTTCACCTACTGTCTCGCGACATTCGTTGCTGCCTCTATTGCCCTATTCTCCTCTCCCCGACGCACTTTTTGGGCTCAAAGCATCATATCAGAGATATCTTCTGACTCTGGGCTTGCTTCATACTGTCTTGCTCGTCGGCAGCAGTGCTGACGACGTGTTGGAGGGATGGATCACTTACCAACGGATGGGCATATCGAGCCCTCGGCCGCGTACACGGGCCAAGGGCCGAATGGTGGTAATGTTGACTTGGACAGCATCAGCGGAGACTCGCTGGGCTTGAATATCAGGATCGAAGGTAAGAACCACCCGTTCCCGGTGCGTATGTGCTCGTTTGAACGCTAACCATGAGCCTTCACGCCCAAGATCCTCCGAAGTTTGAACTGGAATCATACATCGCGAACTATACTGGTAGGCAAATATTGCTTTGCTCTCGGCTCATCGTCATCAAAGCTGACCGGCATTTCGGCGCCAGGCCGGACCAGGTACAATCGACTATATGTCATCGGCACATGTTCAACATATCTAGCCGTCGAGGCACTCAAAGCCGCAATTGCCGAAGCCAAAAGTGGCAAAGATGTCACCAGATACGAACGAGCGGTGCGGGCTCTCGCAGAGGTGGCGCCAAATGATCCCGAGGCTACACTTGACACGCACTGGGTGGACCACATGCAGAAGGTCGTCAAGGCTGAAACAGACAGGTTAGAGCATGAACTCAAGGGCTACAAGAACAACCTGATTAAAGAAAGTATACGGGTAAGGAAGGCTGCCCCTCGCCGTTGAGGGTTCCAAGAGGAGTAGCCATACATGGTTAACCTGTGTACTATAGATGGGCAATGAAGATTTGGGCCAGCACTACTACCTCATCGGCGATCTTACTTCGGCATCCAAGGCATATTCTCGTATGCGAGACTACTGCACAACCCCGACGCATATCATTTCGATGCTGTTCAAGATCATCATTGTGGCGATCGAGCGAGGCGACTGGTTGAGCGTGCAGTCCAACGTTCACCGATTACGCAACCTGCAATCGAAACAGGACGAACAGTCCAAGGTTCAGCCGAAGCTGTCCACCGCGTTGGGCCTCTCACAGCTGCACTCAGGGTCTTACCTGGATGCAGCCAACAGCTTCCTCAACACGGACCCGGGCCTCGGCGATTCGTACACGGAGGTGCTCACCTCCAACGACGTGGCCGTGTACGGTGGGCTCTGCGCGTTGGCGTCGATGGACCGCCACGAGCTCCAGCACCGCGTCCTCGACAACAACTCCTTCCGCAACTTCCTAGAGCTGGAGCCCCAGATCCGCCGCGCGATCGCCTTCTTCTGTAACTCCAAATTCCGCTCCTGCCTGGAGATCCTCGAGGCCTATAGGGCGGATTACCTGCTCGACATCCACCTACAACGCCACGTTCACACCCTCTTCACTCGCATCCGCACCAAGTCCATCCAGCAATACCTCATCCCGTTCAACCGCGTCACCCTGGATTCCATGTCGAAGATGTTCGCCCCCGGCACCCTGACCGGAACCGCCGGCGGCGGCGCCAGCAGCGGCGGCGGCCAGCAGCAGAGCGACGCGGACATGGACCTCAGCCACCCTTTCGTGCAGGAGCTGGTCACGCTAATCCAGGATGGCACGCTGGACGCCCGCATCGATCTGGAGAAGAAGGTGCTGGTCGCCAACCAGGTCGACCTCCGAACCGAGTTGCAGGAAACCGTTCTCAATGATCTGGAGGATTATCTGCAAGAGGCACACATCCGCTTGTTGCGCACCAACATCATTCGGGCTGGGTTGGAGGTCCGGGCCGACGACAAGCCCAGGGAAATACGTGGTAAGAGGTCCGACGGGTTTGGGTCCGCCACCTTGTCTCGGGGCGCGGGGTTGTTCCAATGAAAGCCGTGATTTTGGAGGGGTGGGCGCGTATGTAGCAAATAGTCATCACCTAAGCCAAGTAGTCAGTGGTGCTACATCACTCGTACTATTCTCTCTCTGCACGGGTTTTTGTAATCTTTTCTCGGAAGTTGCGACATAGTGTCCTTTGCAGTGTGACTCTCAACCCCTTCTTCCCCCCGTGTAGTGGAGATTAATGGCAAATAGTGGTAATGACATTATTCTAAAGAGTAAGCGCACAAAGTGACATTGTACATGAACAATAGGTAGCGTCATCCTCTCCTTTCCCTCCCTCCTTCCCAAACTCAGCAAGCTCGGCTGTTTGCATAATCTTCAGATCCTTCCCGAATGAATACAAGTCTCTATAGATGCACTGACCGGTCATAGGTCATGGGCCATAAATTGAACCGGAAAGGGGCATCGACCAAGAGTGTGGAGTGGAGCGTGGCTTAAGCCATGGCCAAGGCTAGCATCATGGCGGCACCTCCGGCAACCCAGCTGCCAGTGGCCAAGGGCAGGGCACCGTTGTCGGTGCTGCTGGCGCTAGCACTAGCAGCAGCGGTGCTGGAGCCGGAGGCATCGGAGGAGCCGGAAGTCGACTGGGCGGACGAAGAGTCAGTGGACTTGCCTGAAGCAGAGCCAGTGCCGGAGGCGGTGGCAGTGGCGGCGGCGCCGGACGAGGAACCAGTAGCGGAGGCAGAGGCAGAACCGGTGATGGTGATAGGGATGGCGGTCAGGGGAGTGGTGTAGATGGCGGAGGAGGAGCTGGGGCCCTCGGAGTCGCTGGCGCTGGTGGTGCAGCTCAAGTAGGTGGTACCAGTGCGAGTACAACCTTGGGAGTAGGTACTTGAATACAGTGTTAGCAACAAGAAAGCTTGGTGAATAGAGCATGAAGGGTCACATACGTTCCGCGGTAAGACAAGCCCATGCCGTAGGTGGAGCTGCCCACCGTGAGGGTGTAGGTGTCGTCCTCAATGTCGCAGCTACTGTCATCGTCATCATCGGAGGTGGCAGTAGCAGCGCTAGCAGAGGAAGTCGTGGAAGCACAGCCCAGAACAAGAGTAGTGAGACTACCACCAGTCTATCTACAGTCAGATACGTTCTGGGTAACCGAGGCACAGCGAATGCATCTGAAGGGATTTCATGACATACAGTTCCAATCACTTTTCCGGCGAGACCAACATCATCAGTGTCGGGCAAATAGACGTTGATAATGTCATCCGCAACAACGGCCGTAACGGAGGCCAACAGGGCCAGCGAGGAAGCAATCTGGAAACGCATGGTGGCTGTGGATTGGAGATATGAATTCCGAAAGAGTGTTATAGAGCAGAAGAAAGGGGGGAATCAAGATATTTTATAGGCAAGCAACGGTATACAAGATGCTCTTTGGGTGCAAGCTTCAGGAGAAAGGAGAACGACAGTATGTGCAATCGGAATGCTGAGTATGGAAAGGGAATTATTGGGGGCGAAAAGGCGCGCGAGGGCCGTTTCTTATAGATTTGTCCCAACTGGTTCCCTCTCGCTGGTGCGACAAGGGCTGAGCCTCGTCGAGGGCTGTTGTGAACTGGTTGGGGATGGCATGCGATGTTTGCAACAGAACGAGACCCTCTCATTTGGGGGCGGCAATCCTCGTGGGAGGTTCAGCTCACTGGTCGGACCCTGGCCGATCGCCAATTTTGGCGTGGAGCCATGAAAGCCATAGGGCGATTAGAGTTGGTTCGACGTGATCCGATTTTCCGATGCGCGAAATGTTGTCTCGATTTAGCCGCATGGGGACGTCCAGACGAGCAAACAAATGATCGATTAAGGAAGTTGGAGCACAAACTAATGGACTAATGAACGATGAGCTTCCATGATTGATGGTACTGGAAGAATAGACGACTGGAGTCAGTTTGTTGTCCACCGTTAGAGAAGCCGGCAAGAAGTGAACTGCCAGGAACTAAGCAGCCACTAAGTGCCCACTAACACCGGGCGCGCATTTGGGGGCTGAAACCATCGTTTCACGAGACTCGCGCATGAATCGGACCCCTGCTTGTCAAGTGGGCTGAGGCACTCAGCCTTCATGTTCGCGGCTCATGTGTAAGCACTAGAGAGTAAGAATCAATCAATTCTTTTCCAAGTATCCATTGTGGACAAAGAAAGTTCCCTGGAGGAAAAAGGGCTTGTGGGTCGAGTCGCTGAGAGGTCCGTCCTGGATTCCAGAAGGACCAGTACTCCCCGCTCAACCAAAATAGAGAAAATGAGAGAAAATGAGATCGTCGCAGCCCCATACTTTCACTGCCCAAGCTCCATCTGCCGCCGCCATCACCGCCATCACCGCCAAATCTAACTCGAGCCGTCAACTCCGACTCCCAAGTT